TAGTGTGTCCACCAGTTGAGGACTGGAATCCCCAGAACTCTGAGTCAGAATACTTTTTGTGTGTGTATGATGATTATCCCGGCATTTGCTATAGTAACTCTCCATTGACCAACACCGCAGGCCCCAGGGCGTCTATGTTTAAGAACTGAAGTTAGGGGGGAACCATCAGTAAGGGTGAGCTACCGAAGGGGGCTTTAAAAATGAAAACCTTGGAGTCTCTAACTGTTGACTAACAAATGAAAATTCTAGCTAATGAAACTTATCACTTCCTTCATCCACTACACCACTGTTAAAAAGCCACCCAGATATTAAAAACATCCATGTGACTCATTTTTATGCAAAATTCCCTGCTGATACGCATCCGCTCTGGCCACCGAGATGAATAATCAAGTGTCGTTTCCAATAAGTCAGAGGCTCCTGTCAAGGAGTTGTGGCCAATTAGAACTTACTCCAGTGAGGAGGTGGTTGCTGATGTTGCCAAGCAACCGCCAAGCTGTAAAGCACATTTAGATGCTCCTTTCCATTTAACCAGCGGCAAGTTGGGAGTGACATTATGATTCCAGCAAAAGAAAGACGAATTATAACCCAGGATGGGGTATCGGTGATGAGGAGTGTTTTCTTTTAAATGCAAATGGAAAAGGAACATTTTTAAGTAGAATTTAAACAGTCCATCATTATTCTGATTTTAATTAGAAGATTAGGTGTCAGTAGGATACAACCGTGTCTCAGGATAATGGTCTCATGCTGCTAGAAAGATACCCAGACATCCTGGAAAATGGGCAACTGGTCAGACAGGGACAATGCATTTTTGGACTCTGACGTATTTATTACCACAGCTACTCTGGTTTATAACGACTTTTATTTTTATTGTTCGGAAAGATTAAGAAATAAAAGCAAATATTAAAAGTAAACCGCCGGTAGGGATGCCACCAAGAGAAAGCTGCTTGATCCAGGGTTAGCGGGAAAACCCCTTCCGCCGTAGAAGTCCCGTACTGACTGCCTGAAGAGTTTATGTAGGGAATTTAAGCACCAAACAAAGCCCAAAGCCATGATGATGGCTGTAATTGTGCAAAAAGACGTTCACACTGAAATGGTCCGAGCCATGCATCACTCATAAGCCGGCTGTATCAACTTGAATTTTTAAAAATTGGAGGCGCTCCTGAGCCATACGTCTTCTCCCGGGCAGGAAAGGCCTATGGGGAGTAAAGGGCACACATGCCTCTGTCTGCAAGCCTCATACATTATTGACTGCACCTTCCCGACAGGAAACATCTGGATGAAAGTGAAAAATGGGGCAGAGAGCTGCAGCCCTCGGTGCTGCGCAAGATGCCAGCCCTCCTTGTTTGTCTCACGCTGCGGAAACAAACCGGCGGCCATACACTGCTGTGTGAGTGGCTCGTTCCCTTTGGGGTGACACCCGCATCCTCAGGGCCCCCACTTGTGAAGTGGCCTGGTCCCTTGTACCTGCCCAGTCCTGGGTTATCTGGGCGAGGGGAGCCTGGAGGCCAGCAGAGACGATTGAGTTTAGACTTTGACTCTGCTAAACTGCAAGCTAACTAGACCTTTTATCTTGATAGGTTGTCTGCCTCGGGTACTTTATCGTGGCCATGCAAAGTTGACTAACACGTTGCCACGTTGGGTTGTTGTCCTGGAAGCGTTCAAAGATGAGCTCCCCATGGGAGCTGCAGGGACCCGCTAGCCGACAGCCCCGTTTCCACTAGCCGACAGCCCCGTTTCCGCTAGCCAACAGCCCCGTTTGCTCAGTAACAAATGGTGGCAGGGACTCCCCAGGCTTTGGCCTTTTTAAAACTGTGAGTGCAGAATAAACAAAGCTAAACTGATAACCCAATGTCGTTTTAACGTGTTGAAGTGCACGGTGAGTTGTTCGACCACGGAGGCCTTTTCATCCTCCGTGGTTTCAGATCCCTTTCCTCGGCAGTTGTAATGATCGGCTTTCCGCCACTATGAAAGCACACCGGAGACGACCAGTTTTATAGAGGGAGTATGTTTCTCTTGGCTCACATTTTTGGAGGGTCTGGTCCATGATTGGGCGGACCTGTGGTGAGGCGGCGCATTACGGCTAGGGTTGGCCAGGGCAAAACCTCCGACTGCACAGCCAGGAAGCAAGAGAAGGAATCTGAGATGTTTGGGATGCCACGGCCCCCTTTCAGGGATGTGCTTCTTATCAACTCCCAGCAGAGCTGCACTAGGGACCCAGCCTTTCATACACAGGCATTCAGGAGGCACTCAGACCTCAGGCCTGAAGCTCACCTGCCACCCTCCTGCTCACTGTCTTACAAGAGTCTGTGAAAGCTAGTCCTTCGAGTTGGAAGAGTTTAGAGGGAAACACAGGTTCCACCAAATCGTCCCTCTTCCCGATGAGTTATGACATTTAAAAATAAAACAAGCACTAACCCGCCCCGAGGGCATCCCATTATTTATGTGTTTCCGTTGGAGAAGTATGGATTTAGTTTCAATTTTGTTTCCTGAAATTAAACCCATTTACTTCCTGGTTCACAATAAAATTGCACACGATTCCAGGATTACTCACAGTCTTTGGTAAGGAATCTAGTGAAAGACTGTCAAGACCTAAATAAATCTCCCGGCTGCCCTTTTAAAAAGCACAAATGTTTTTGGAGGATGGGTGGAAAATCTGGCAGGTTAACCAGGCAAGATTTTTCTCTAGCAACAACAGAAATCAGTTATGTTCTAAGCAATACTCAGCAATCCATTCTATAAATCCTAACACTAGTCTGTCACCATACTATGATGCTGTCCCTTCTTCCTGGGGCGGGAGGTATCAATCACATTTGCTCTGGCTTTACCTCTGCATATTATCCCCACTAAGACTAAAGCCAAAAGCAATTTATTTTTAAATGAAAATGTGGCCTCACTTGACTCCCAGCTTTTCCCAACAAACAAGCAAAAGTCACACAAACAGGCATGCGTGTGTGTGTGTGTGTGTGTGTGTGTGCATGAACACATACAATGCTGGACATAAAATAATCCTAAGTACTGTTGACTGAGGCAGCCTAACCTAAGGGAGATGAAGCCGATGGGTGGTTCAGTCTAAGGCCTCCAGAAATCCACAGGGCGCTAGGGAAGGGGGCTGCAGGTGGGGGAGCGCCATAGCTGTCAAGGTGCCAAAGGAAAAGCCTCGCAATTCCAAGCAGAAGCAGACTTTTGATTTATTTATTTAGAACAAACCCTGGGTACGGGGGTGGTAAACCCTGAAGTTTGGTGACGAAAGTCCAAAAGCCCCTTATTCATGAATGCTGCGGTTTCTCCGTTCTCTCTGTGTGTCTGTGTGCCTGGGCTCAGCATGCCAGCACTGCCTCGATTTCCTTTGTCTCTGCTGTTTCTACTCACAGGTGCTGCTTGTGAGTCCGTAAGGAGAAAGCCAACAATTCCCAACATCCGCTTACTTAGCCTTTTCTTTTCCAATTGTGTGTGTGTGTGTGCGTGTGCATGTGTGCGTGTGTGTGCATGTGAGTGTGGCTACCCAAAGAGGTCAGAAGCATCAGATTCCTTGGAGCTGAAGTTACAGGTGGTTGTGAGCACCCTGATGTGATGCCGGGAACCAAACTTGGGTCCTCCGTGAGAGCAATGTGGACTCTTAACAATGGAGCCAATCTCTCCAGTCCCTTAATTTTTTTCTTGATAAAATGACTTCCCTTTCATTTTTTTCTTATCACAGCATTCATTAGAACAGACAGAAAGGTTTTTTTTTGTTCTTTGAGCCACCATTACTGAGTGCCATTACCCACACCTGGTGTATGCAGCTAAAAGTTTAAAAAGATAACAGGAAAAAGGAAAAACTTTGTCCCTTGAGGCATCCACGTAGCAGGGTGAGACACAACGAAAAACAGTAAATATATAAACTGAATGGACCCTTAGAGTCACAGAGAGAAACAAGCCAGAGAAGGCAGGGCCTGGGAAAGCAACAGATGAGGTAAACTGAGATGGGGGGACCAAGCAGAACTCTCACCCTGGGGCTGCCCCATTCAGGGTCAGCAGGATCATGGGGGGACCCTCAGGAACCTTTGAGATTTTGATTCCATGGGACTTGGAGTAGCCAAGAGGAATTAGTTTTTTAGTTAATTAGTTTTTTTTTTGAGATGAGGTCTAATTATGTAGTCTAGGCTGACTTCAAACTTGTAACCCACCCTCCTCCACTTCATGAATGCTGGGATTACAGGCAACAAATTGCAATCTGCCTCTAGTCCCATAGTGAGAACCAATGAGCTAGAGGTGAAAGGCCAAGGAAGCATCTAGAAGCCATCAGGGTCACATGTGCTGGGGAGGAAGGTAGTCAAGACACACTTCTTGGGCAACCTGTCCTGTCTGTTATCTCCACCAGCAGTTGGGAATGGATGATAGGGAATGGAGGGCCATTGTGTTGAGGAAGGAGAATGCTCAGAGTCTTCAAGAATTTGTGACATCTCGTGGAGCCTGACGGAGCCTCTGAATTTGTCTGAAGGATGACTGTGGCCTGGCTGCCCTCCTAGCGTACCTCAGGGAGAGCATCATTTCTTCCGAGTCACTCACGGCCAACCCTTCTATACCTGAGGCATGATGCAGCCTTGGAAAGGGCTTCACCAGCCTGCAAACGGCCTCGCGCCAACAGGTAGTTTGAAGTTCACAATCTCAGACCAGGCCAGGACCACCTGGGTGGGATTTTGCATTTGAGCAGGCTCCCCAATCAATTATACACCAAAGCATGAGAAAACCGTTCCATTTTCCTCCTGAGCGCCTCCAGCAGTGTCCTGGGACAGAGCCAGACATGCAGTGTGAACCATTGATTGATGATACCTGGGCATGTGGGGCGCCAGAGAGGTGGAAGACACTTTGCTTTCTTGTAATGGATGGGCTGAGGGTGTCTGCAGATGAGACACTTTGATGTACCACCCTGGCAAGCCATTGCAGCTGGTCTAGTTCTTCACCTCACTTTGGAGAAGCCTGTTCCTTCAGGGAAAGAATCGGCGCTCCCTGCCTCTTACCTCATTCAACTTTTCAGGACTGAAGGCAGACATCAAGGCACCTCTGACTTCTTCCCATCTCTTGCTGCGTAGAAACAGGACGCTGTCTGCTACCGGCTTGGGTTCCAGACCGGAGGCCTGAAGGAAAGTGCCAAGCAGAGGGTTAGCACGGAGGGAGCCAGAGCCACCTTAGTGGCTCTCCTAGTTAGCTTTAACTGTCAATCAAGTCATCTGAGAAGGGAGTCTCAATCGAGGGACTGGGTCAGATGGGCCTGTGGGCGTGTCTGTGGGGGGTTATCTTGTTTGTTAACTGATGGAGGACCCAGCTCACTGTGGGTAGCATTATTCCCTGAACAAGCGGTCCTGGGATGTGTAAAAAAAACTAAGCATGAGCCTAGGAGTGAGCCAGCAACCAGCATTCTTCCATGGCTTCTGCTTCAAGATCTTGCTTGGGTTCCTGACCTCCTTCAGTGATGAACTGTGCTCTGTCTGGAAGTACAACCCAAATAGACCCTTTCTCCCCAGAGCTACTTTTGGTCAGAGTAGTTCTTCATAGTGACAGAAAGAAACCAGGACAGTGGTAATTGAAGGGCATGATAAACACCGGTGTTAAACTCCACCAATAACCCAGATCGAGATTTCTCTTGCAATGACACAGAAAAGCATTATAATATTCATGGACAAGGCTCTAAGACCCGTGGCTGGGGCCAACAGGGGACAGATCTGCTAGCCCTGTCACAGTGTGGACATTATCAAAATATCACAGTGGCCCCTGTGTGCCCTGAGGCCCCTTGTGAGGCCCTTTGATGATGACCAAAGTGGGTTTCCTAGGGTTGAAGGACACATCGGGATTTTGTGGCAAGAGATTTGGGGTGTTTGGATTGATCGGGTTTGGCTCAGAGATGACAAAGTCGTGTATTCTTGTCCTTAGAAAGTGAGAGAAAGGATTGCTGAACAAGTGGCCTTCAGAGGCACCCAGGAGAGAGGCTTCTAAGTCTTATCTGCTGTGGTGGCTCTATGTTCTAGCATCCGTTGGGCTTTCCTTTTCTTTTTTAATGTTAATCTTGAAAATTCCATATACGAGTACTGTGTTCATATCATCTCCCGCCCCCATGCCCATCCCTACTGACTTCTCAAATTCATGATCTCTTATTTTTTAATTACAGACACACACACATAAGTTTATAAGTACAATCTGCCGAGTTCATTTAGTATTGCTCATGCATTCAGAGTGGCCCGTTTGTGATTGGATAATGTACTGGGGGTCTGCCTCGTCCTTGGAGAAGACTAATTCTCATTCTCTCTCTCTCTGCAACTATTATCTGCCTGTAGCTCTGCATCTAGGAATGGAATCTTGTGAGATTTCCCCACATATGTTGTTGGTATGTCAACTGGTGCTATCATTTTTCCTTTTATTGAAAAAAATTGTTTTCACATAATATGTTCTGATTATGATTTTCCCTCCTGGTACTCATCCCAAGGTCTTGGCATTTTTCAAGCCTTGTTTAGGCCGCAGCGTTATTGAGAGTCCCTGAATGCAGCTTTGCTGTCATGTAGAAGGCGCTATTTTGAAGAAGGTAGGGCCCCTGGCTCTTACAGTCTTTCTGCCCCCCCTTATCTGATGTTCTCTGAGCCTTAAGTGCAGGGGTTTGTGTTACAGATGTGTCAGCTGGGACAGATGTGTCAGCTGGGACAGGTTACCCCACAGTCACGGGTGTTCTTTGAGTTTTTGTAATGGTCTCTGTTGACTGCAGAGAGAAACCATTTTGATGAAGGGTGAGATACATTTATCAAGCAGAGGATGAGATCTACATTTGCATATATGTCAATCAAGTTTTGGGAGGTTGGCCTGTGAGTGTGCATACGGCATGGGGTGGATGGGAGCTGGGGGACCCAGCAGCTACAGTAAGCCTTGAGTCTGGAGGGAGGCCTATGAGTGCCGTACCTTTATTCTTAATCAGCACAGATTTGTTAAATGTCCAATATGGGCATTGTGGCTTAAATCATATTCCTGAAATGTCATACATTGAAATCCTGATCCCTAGAGCTCCATATTTGGCCATGGGGATTTTAAAAGGTACCTAAAATAAATAAAGCCTTTATGGTGAGCCCTAGTCCAGTGTGCCTGGTATCTGTATATTCTTATAAGATTAGGATGCAAGCATGCAGACAGAGGACCACAGGAATGGAAAAGACAATCATTTAAGCCAAGAAGACAGGTCACAGATGATATGAACCCTGACCCAACTCATACTTCCAGCCTGCCCAGGCGCATTTCTGTGTGCGAGTCCCTCAGCTCATACGATGTTCAAAAGCTCATTATAGAGCGCATTGGACAGGAAAGACTTGGCTTTGGCCCTTACATTGGTTTGCTTTCTATTGTTATGATAAAGACCGAGCATCTTGAGGAGGAGAGGGCTTATTTTGACTTACAGGTCATACTCCATCACGGAGGGAAGTCAGGGAAGGAGCCTGGAGGCAAGACCTGAGGCAGAGACCACGGAGGAGCACTGCTGACTGACTTGCTCCTAATAGTTTGCTCAGCTTGCTTTCCGACACAACCCAGGGTGAGCTGCCTAGGAGGGGCACCGCCCGCAGTGGGCTGGGCCCTCCCACGCCAGTCATTCATAATAGTGAAGAGGAGAAGCAGCGGGCACTGAGTATCATTGCAGATCATGAGAAAGAAAGCGGGTTTTCTCAAGGGGAAGCCGGGCGTGGGGCAGGTGGTGGGTTACATGGTCAGGAGGCCTCTGAAGATAAGCCAAGAAACACGCAAAGGAGTTCCTCCTGGCCCTTCCCCTCCTGCCCCTTCCCCTCCTGCCCCTTCCCCTCCTGCCCCAGTCCATTCTCTTCCATCCTAAAAGCAGCTGTGCCAGCTGTGGTTACAAACGGTGACCTCACTGTTCGTCAGTGTGGCCCCCCAGGCCCGTGGATGCAGGGGGATCTGGGACCAGGCACTCCGCAGGGTCATGTGTGCCACGGGGCTCCGTTATTTCCTTTCACTGTTTTAATTATAGCTGAAGCACGAAGCCAGCCGTCATAACTCAAATGCCTTGTAAAAACTCCTATTTAGAGGAAAATTATAATTTTCTGATAAAATATGAACACTCAAAATAAGCCATAAAACATAACTGCAAAGTATCTAGAGGATTTAATTATATATTAGAACCCAGTTGCTGGGACATTTTCCTGCGGAGGAACACCTCTCTATATTTAGAACGAGATTCTTTAGGAGTGCCATGGCCACTAAATTATGGTTTTATGGAATTTTTGGAACATAATCTGTTTATTTAGGTTCGAGTCAAAGGAGGAAATCATACATTATGGATATTTATAGAGTGAAGAATCCCCAGCCTGTGCCACACTGCTAAGACTTTTCACTTGGGAAAAAAGTGAGACACCAGTTTGTACAGTCCTGCTAACACAGACTCAATTGTTGAGTCAGGGTCAAGATTGACTGGATTGGAGCCATCCCTAAGACTTAAGAAATAGGAGGCTGGGAAGCTAGTGGAATGCTCACTGTACATTGAGGTCCTGAGTTCAACCCTCAAACCCATGTAAAAAAAGTTGGATGTGGTAATCTTAGCACTGGGGAATGTGGAGACGGGCAGATCTCTGGAGTTTGCTGGCTATCCAGCCCAGCATACTCTGCAAGCAAGCTCAAGGCAATAAGAGATCCTGTCTCAAAACAAACAAACTAACAAACAAAACAAAAATCCACGAAGGATGGCACCTGAGAAACGTCACCCGTGTCTGACCTCTGGCCTCCACACTCACACACCTGTGCACCCGTACACAGACACAAAAGACCTAACCATTGGGTTCCTGCTACCTTTTACCTTATGTTTAAAGAGGGGCCTCACTCTCCAGGCAGTATGTTGTTAGACTCTCAACCCACCCCCTTACCCTGCTATTATCTTCAGACTAGAAGTCCTCCAGGGCTTTGCTTTCCGGGTTGTCTGTTTGTTTCTGACCGTCAAAGTCAGGGATAGCACTCACATGATTATTTCATGTCTAAGCATGTATTAGAACAAAAAGAACAGCAAAAGATGGCAAGAAGGTATTAATGTCAGCCGTATCTGCTACTTTTCTCGTGGCTGTGGCTAAATACCCGGCCAGGAACAACTTGAGAGGAGTGGTTTATTTGGGCTTGTGGCTTGAGGGGACACAGTTCTCCACGGTGGGGGAGGCCTGCAATGGGTGTCTCTGTGGTAGCAGGGCGAGTGTGTGACATCTCAGTGCATCAGGAAGTGGGGGAGGGATGGAAAGTAGGCCATGTCTCCCGGTGACCCAGTTCTCCTAGGGGGGCCTTTTGTTCTAAAGGCTCCCCCACCTCCCCAAATAGCACGGCCGGCTGAGACTAAGTGTTCAGACACCTGAACTTGAGGAAGAGACTGTGCATCCAGACCTTCAGCCTCTGGCCACCGTAGGACGGACGCAGTCTAGCTGCCAAGGTTTCCCCAGCCTCACTGAGTTCTAACTGTTCAAAAGTCCCAAAGTTTCTTCTGAGACGTGAGGAGCTGCACGCCTCCAGCACACAGAGTAAGCAGCCCCCCCCCCCAAGTGGAGAAACTAGAGCACAGCAGACAAAGGCCGGCTCTACGCAATCCCCAGACCTAGCAAGGCAATCACTACGCACCACAGCTCCGTGTCTCCCATCAGGGGCTGCTGATGGTGTCATCAGTGCTCCAAAGGGCTTGAGGAGTCCTGCCTCTTAGCCGTGTTGCCTGTGATACGTGCGGTCTCTCCCTAGGGCCAGAACCTCCTAGTGCTTGACACTTTCCTCAGCGAACTCCAACCACCATCCTGGGGTCTCCACTGTACAACTTAGGCTGTCTTCCTAGCCCCATCTGCGGTCCTTTCAAGAGCCCAGGTGGGGAATCCAACCTGCTACACATTCTCCAGCCTCTGCTACTTTCTGAAGCCTTGGTGCAAGCTTCTGTGACCCTGTAACTCTTGGTTTCTGCATGCCTGCAGAACCACTACAATGTTGACGAGGCATCCAGCTCCTCTACCTGGGCTACAGGTGCATCAGGCTCTGTGTGCCTCCATGACTACACCTGGGAAAACCGTCCCTAGATGACCATGCCCAAACAGAATGCCCCATAGGCTCTCTTTGTTTGAGCACTCTCTTTTCC